ATTAATGCCCTAAGGATGATTTTGAAACTAAGGAAATGTAGAAAAAGTTTCATATGTTTCAAAATAAATAAATAAAAGTTTAATGTATACTTAGGTTTATACGCATTCAAACATATCATATGATTTTAGGATATTAAGAAAATATTTAAGCAATTTGGGTATGGGTCGTTGGATAGCAGCCAAATTGATCCATGCAATACATTTAAGAACAAAAAATATTACATGCTCACATCGGAGGTCTAGTAAGTCAAAGATCATCAGGTTTATTGACTCCGACTTATTGGAATGCGAATGCAAAATTTTGTCACATGAACTGCTAATGATAAATTGATAAGAATGGCCACTTGAGTTATTTTGTGACAATTAAGTTACAATTCTTTATTCCATATAAAACAAAAGCACCTTAAAGTCTAAGCACATAAATATTATGTTTTTGGTTGTTAAAGAAAATTGCTAGTGGGTATGTGTTTATAGAGTGCATTGATACAAACTCATAATTGCATGCTTACTAAGGAACTGTCACCCAAGGTATTTCATGAGCTCACTACTCATGTAGGTGCAATACCATTTAAGGATATTCAATTTTAGTGGGAGTTTGTATTAAAATGTGTGTTTGTTTTAAACACAATTTCAGTTACTTTAGTCTAAGAATATTTATTTTAAGATTATTTTCTGCTGAAATAAGTTTGTTTTGGTTCATCCACACTTTGGTTTTGGCAAAATTTGATCTCACTAAGGTTTAAAGAGGACAATTGGAAATAGACATGTGTGGTTCACATTGCATGTACTTTCCATGTTACACTCCATGATTGATCTATGTCATTTGATTATATCTGTATACGTGACCATTGATAGGTCTAGTCATGATAAATATGACAAAGACTGCTTTGATCCTATATGAACATAGTTGATGAACGAGATTGTTATAGAATACATATTAAATGATAACAAATTTTGAGCTCATAAGGTTATACATTTATCAGAAAACATATGTTGCCCAAATTAGAGATTGTTGGATTAAAATCCATAATTATGGACACATATTTATAATGTATATTATTATCATAAAATATGACATAAATTAAGTGACTAATTATGTTATAAAGTTATAAGGTATTAGAATTTTCATGGAAATAAAAGTGTAGATGCTATTTAAGTTGTATTTATAATTTGATGAGGAGTATAATTATAAGTACAAACAATAATTGATTCTTTAATAAGCTATATAAAGGGTTAATGGTCCCCAAGAAATAGATAATCTTGTATTTATTCTTATCCCATCAAAGAGTTTATACTTAAGGGAACTCTATTCTATTGGAAGATCACAGCTAAAAAAACTTAAAGATTTCAACATATTAATTAATCTAGGTACGCTTTTGCAAATATAATATTTTATGTGTTACATAAGATTATTTATGGTCTTATATATACATTATAGTCATCTTAAGAATTCATGAAAACTGTAGGAACTAAATTACTACTTTAATGGTTAGATGAATGATTATTATTTCTAGATATATTATGGTTTAAACACCTGCAACTATAACAAGACGATTGAACAGTCATGGTCATATGATTGTGAATATTTAAAATAAATATTATTTTATAACCTTAACTTAATAAAAAGAAAAAGAATTCATGAAAACTTTTTGATAACTTGGGATAAACAGAAAAGCTTGTTCGAAGACATTAATGCACGAAGAACTAATAATTTTGGAGGTTATATTGAGGGAGATCCGAAGGTTTTCGGACATAATCTCTAAAGATGTAATAAAAATATAATGAATAAATTAAGCCGGTGGAGTGGGTTTAGAGGCATTGGGCAGTTACGAAAAGTATAAGAAAATGGGAGCGTTACGGCCATGTGACGTTAGGCAGTTAGGGAAGAAGAAAATTAATGTGGAGCCATGATCGTCTGGACCGACACCATTGTACTGCCATTCGTACCTTATATTTTTCTAAAATTTTATATTAGTTATAACAAATAAATATAAGGGTAAACTACATCAAATACTACTCATTTTTAAGTTTGGACTTGTTTATAACACTAAGTTTTAATTTTGTCAATTTAATATTAATGTTTACTTTTAAATGTAATTATATTACTTCGCCGTTAATGATCTAATAAGACGATAACATGACAGTCGTACGCCGTGACGTTGCTAACATAACAACCCCATCAAAATGACGTCGTTTTGGCGTAACTATGTTTGAAGCTAAAACCCCCAAAACGGCATAATTTTGTTTTGAGAAAAGATTGTAAAATTGTGCACTTCGGAGGATTTGAATTCAAGACCTTTAACTACAAAAACTAAAGCTTAACCACTATGTCAATTTAAATTTTCATTATAATTCTACAAACATAATATACATAACATTAGTCACATATTTCAAATATTTTGTTTTCAAAAACCCATGAAATTATTAAAATTTCAATAAAAAAGCCTTAAATTCCAGAAAATCTAAAAAAACTCCTAAATTTCTAAAAGTTTAAAAAATCTATATTATTGAACAAAAACTATTATTATTATTATTATTTTCAAATGTTAAAAAATATTTTTAGGGCTTTTTTTAACATTTAAAAATGTTCAAATATTTTTTAATATTTCAAACATTTGAAAAAATATTTTAACATTTGTAAAAAATGCATTGAATTTACAAAATGGTCCATTGACCCATGTTATGTATATTATTATTAAAAATATTTTTTTAAAAGTTATTTTTTAACATTTGAAAAAATATTTTTTTAACATTTGAAAAAGAAAAATAAATAGTTTTTGTTCAGTATTATAGGATTTTTTTTTAACTTTTAGGAATTTATGATTTTTTTTAGATTTTCTAGAATTTAAGGCATTTTTTTAGAATTTTAATAATTTTATAGGTTTTTTAAAAAAATATTTGAAATATGTAACTCATGTTATGAATATTATGTTTAAAAATTATACCAAAATATTAAATTGATATAGTGATTAAGCCTTAGCCTTTGTAGCTTAAGGTTTTGATTTCAAATCACTTCAAGTGCACAATTTTAATAAATTTTCTTAAAACAAAAATACGTTTTTTTTGGGTGGGTTTTTTTAGCCTTAAACACAGTCATGCCAAATAATCTCGTTTTGATTAGGTTATCACGTCAACGACGTCATAATGTACGATTGTCATGTTATCATTTCGTTAAATTATTAACAACGAAGTGATATAATTACACTAAATAAAAAAGTAAGTAGTATAAACAAATCGAAGCCATATTTGAAGTAGTTTACCCTAAGTAAAAACAGTACAACTTGTGTGGATATTTGCCCTTCGATTCCGCAACAAAAATTTTGTCGTATTGTGTGCCATCTCAGGCTCAGCTTTGTACTTGCCATTATCATACCCATGGTTTTCAGAACCGGACCGGTTAACGAACCGATCATGCTATTGATTTACTGGTTTAATCGGTCGAATCGGTCTGACCGGTCGAAAGAACCGGACGACGTCATAATTATTTAAAAAATTAAATAAAAATACCAAAAATATTTAATAAAAAATAATTTTTTATATCACAAGTCATATTCAAAGCAAGTCATAACATATATAAGTTAAAAACCATAAAATCAAGTGAAACAAAATGTTTCAAATTAACTGCAACATAATATTTAAGGTAAAGCATATTAAATAATAAATATAATTATATAACTATAATTAAAAAATAAATTTGGGGTTAAAAAATTATAACAAAATGATATTGTTTAGTTTATTTTTTTTAAAACAATCTCATATGGCTAAGAAACATAGAAGATCATCCCAAAAGTCTAAAGAGTAAAAATATGAGAACAAAACAATCTCACATTGCTAAGAAACATAGAAGCGCATCACAACTAACTTCTATAAATAATAAAGGTAATTTGGCATTCAAAATCATAGAGCCTTTTGGTGAGCATTGAGTGAACTATTTTTTCATTTCAATCAAGCTCGAATTTTAGGTTTCAATCGAGCTTCTAATTTTTTTTTGAGTTCAAGCCTTTTTGAGTTCAAGTTTCAATATTATATTTCGAGTTTGAGTTGAACTTGATAATTTTAGCTTGTGAGTTTGAGTTGAGTTGAGCTTACTTTTAAAGTTTTCAAGTTCAAGTCGAGCTCAGCAATACTCGAGTTCGACTTGACTCGTTTAACAAACGACGTTGTTTGGTTTAATTTTTTTAAAAAAAAAAACAAAAATCCCGGTTTTTCCCAGATTTTCCCGGTTTTTTCCGATTTTCAATCGGTCCGGTTCGAATGGTTCAACGATTCTGACCGGTTCACTAATAGCAGTTCAACCGGTTTAGATTAAATCGGACTAAACAACGATTCCCGATTGAACCGACCGATCCGATCTGATTTTCAAAACAAGACCATACCATATTATGATCAAAATGCTGTCCAGCTCAAAGTCGTACTTTCCCAACCGTACATTTATTTCTCTCGTTTTCCATTTTTTATGGGATACGATCAAATTTGAACTTTCAAAACGGTATTTTTAATTAAAAATGGTTTGTTAAAACACTCGCGTAATTTGGATTTGGAAAGTGAAAATCTTTTGGAGGATTTTCACAGTTTAACTGAATTACCCAATAGGTGGCGCGAAATTGACGGAGTCAGTTAGGTGGGACGTAATCAATTTTGATATTATAGCTGACATTCACAACAATACGTGTCAGTTAAAGATGTTAGAAATCGACACGTGTCCTTTGCTAGCAACTGTCTTTGCCCGTAAGAGTCCTCACACACTCAACGCCCCTATAAGGCTATAACCCTCACTTTTTACCGGTTCAACAAGTCATCCTTATCTCCTCCCCATATATATACATATATTCTCTCTCATTTTCTTTCTTATTCCCTCTCTCTTTATTCAAAGGTGAAGAGGCTCCGCCCTCACCATTATCTCAGCCTTCTTTTATCTGTACATATATGAAATTAGTTTAAATTTAATATTTTATCTAGGTTTTGGGCTTTTGTAATCAGTTCATAAGAGTTTATATTTTCTTTTCTTTTCTCTTCAATGGCGGATCGGATCAAAGGTCCATGGAGTCCGGAAGAAGACGAGGCTTTACAGCGGCTGGTTCAAACGTACGGACCCAGGAACTGGTCTTTGATAAGCAAATCAATACCGGGTCGATCGGGGAAGTCGTGTAGGCTTCGATGGTGCAACCAACTTTCCCCCGAGGTTCAACACCGTCCATTTAGTCCCGAGGAAGATGAAACGATAATCCGAGCCCACGCGCGATTCGGTAACAAATGGGCTACCATCGCCCGACTACTCAATGGTCGTACAGACAACGCGATTAAGAACCACTGGAACTCCACGCTGAAGCGAAAATCCATGGCCGAGGATTTAAACGACGACTCCCCACCGCCGCTTAAAAGATTGGCCAGTCTTGGAAGTAGTAATAATACGGCGGGATTTTACTTGAATCCGAGTAGTCCTTCAGGGTCTGACTCGAGTGACTCGAGTTTACTCGGTGTCACACCGGCCTCGTCCACAACGGATCCACCAACCTTACTCAGCCTGTCGCTTCCGGGTTCCGATTCCATTGAAAACAAGGACACAGGACCCGTATACCCTCCCGGATTCAACTCGGTTCCAAACCCTACCAAGGTTGCAGAGGCAGAACCATTAGTACCACCTGGTGGGGAGATGGAGAAGCAGTTTTTTAAGGCGGAGTTTTTGGCAGTGATGCAGGAGATGATAAGAAAAGAAGTGTGGAACTATATGGATGGGATCGACAAGAATGAGCTTTGTTTGCAAACTGAGGCTATTAGAAATGCACTTGTCAAGCGTATTGGAAATAGCAAAATCGACTAGGCTACATGAATCACCACCAAAAGTTTAGTTTCTTTCCTTGGCTTATTTTTTTAAAATTAACTCAATCAAGTTGAAGGCTTAAGACTTATTTATAAGGCTGGCATAGAAGTTGAAGTACATATTGGACCCTCAAGTATTGAAAGAATTTTATTTTTAAGAATCAATATATATATATATTTGGTAAGATCAAAATGCTGCTTCAAACTAATATTGTTTTCTATATTAAGGTTATGCAAATAAATAAAGAGATATTGTATTAAGTGATGCATCCACCAATGTTGGAGGAGTAGTTATATCTTTGAAAATATTTTCCCTATATTATACTCAACTAGTAAAATTAATCCCTATATTTTAATTTTAGTTCCTCTACCTTATGAATTTGTAAATTTCAGCCCATTCATTATCTTTGTTTAAAGTTGTTGATATCACAAAAACAATCAATAAAATGTGATCGTATGTTTGTTGACAGGAACAAACTCATATTGTCGGCAGTTGATGATCTATTCCTTTTGATTTAGACGGAGAATCATGGTACGTGATAATATAGTTGTTGGCCAATGCTTATATATGATTGAGATGAAATTATGATAGAGATTTGGTGAATTGGAGAGGATGGAAACAATGGTGATAATGTCTTTTTTGTTTTAATCGTGGCCGAGGGGTATTTACAGTGACTCTAATTGATGGTGTTAAACATAAGGTCATTATGACTACTTGTAGGTCGGCATATTAAATAGATCTAGTAATCAGATCCTTGGATTTAGCCTTAATGGATCACATGAGCTTATCAAAAGTCTTTTCTATGCATCGTAGTCGACTCTAATGTTACGAGTTCCTTAGAGGCTCCGATGAGCTAATGGAGATTTCTGGAAGTTTTATCTAACGAAGAACTAACAGTTTTAGGAGGTCATAAAAATGAACGGAGGTATAACAATGCTAAATTAAGGTACCAAAAGTAATTTTAAAATTTAAATAAAGTATAGGGATTAATTATGAAATTGGACCTTAAAAAATATTGTTTTTGAATATATGAATAGGCCGCGTAGCAGATGTGTAAACACAGGCGTACGATGTTGGGAAAAGCGTGTGAAAGCAAGCATGCAAAAACCATCACTTTTTCAGTACGTGTTATTGGTTTGTGTAGTCAGCTTTAAATGTGCTTCCCAATTTGGCTACTCCATGCAAATCTGCAGCACCGGATTCATAAAGTCAAATTCCGACACCACACCAATAATGTAAAACATCTTAGTCCTCGTAATGTTTTCAATGGAGGAAACGCAGGCTGAGTCAAACATTCCTGTAACACCAAAGGTCCCACTTTCACAAAGCTCTTCACCGTCTTGGCCTGGAAACACCCTTATATATACACACAGCGGTAGAACCAACCATATATCATTCATTACAACAATTCGACCATAAATAACTTTAAAAAGAACAGCCTCAGTAGCTCACCACCTTATTATTAGAGAATGAAGAGTGTTCCTTTCGTGCTTGTGCTGTTGGTGTTGTTGGTTTCAACGGAGTTCATCGCAGTCAGTGGCCGACCCCTTCGATCATCATCGACGAACGCAGCAAAGGACAATGATAAAGCTGTTGCCGCTCGTGTTCCTATCTCGGCAAACAACTCTAGGAGTGGTAATTCGTTTACGAGTTTGGCTTTTAAATTAGCCTCCGGGCCGAGCAAAAAGGGACCTGGCCATTAAATTTAAGCATTTTTTTTGGGGGGAGACCCCATTTTTGTTCTGTGATTCTCCATGCACAGATTCCTCAGCTGTAGCATTCCCCCCCTATTTAATCAACATCTACGACTTGTTTTGTCATTGCTTTAGAAGAAATGTTTATACTTGTAATTTGATGGTATAGGGTCATTTATGTACCTTTTTATTGACCATTTTCATTCAAGTTTGTATGTTTAAAAATCACCAAACATTTACAGGTCTTTGTCTCGTTCTTCCTTCAAAGAGTAGAAGTATCAAACGTAAGTATATGTTGTCTCACTTTGTGTAAGTTTCAATTTAGACGTTTATTTTCAATTATACTATTTCTTTATTTAATTAAGAAATAAGTTCAAATTTTAGTTCTTTTTCTTTTTTTAATGTAAGTATGTAAATTTCTTTATTTTTCTTCTATTTTTAATATGCTAAATTAATTTTAATAGAATTTTTAAACTAATAAATATATTATTGTTCCTTTAGAATACTTTTTTTAGGTATCAATACTAAAGCTCAAGTATTTATATATATTATTATGTGGTGATTTCCAAATTATTATTATCTTCGTTGGTGGAAGTATACAAGATCAACTCATAGTAAATTACATCTCTTATATATATATATTATTTTACGTTGATATCATTTAATTATTTTTCCGTTTATAAATTCATAACGGAGCTCAATCATTAATGAACATGATATAAACATTAAAATATAAAGCAAATATATAGAGAATAAATTTTTTTATAGCTTCACTTTTACTCTTTAGTAAATATATATCAATACTTTTTGCTATCACCAATGAATGTAATAAAATATTTATTCTTTCCTATTTGTAAAAGTAGATCAAATAAATCCATTAAAATGGCAAAAATTAAATTCTTAAAATAAATTTACTTTCAATAGCCCACTTTACAAATATATCGAGAATTTTAATAAATAAATTTAACAATTTATTTCTTTCTTACAAAATAGAATCATACTTGACTCTCAAGAAAGTAAATTTAATAATTTATTTCATTTTTTTAAAACTATAATCATACTTAATTTTCAAGAAAATAAATTCAAAATTTTATTTTCTTTTATAAAATAGTAATTAATCCAACAATTTATTTTCTTTTACAACCCAGAATCATATAAGATTATCAAGAAAAATAAATCCAATGGTTTATTTTCTTTTACAAAACTGGAAAATAAATCCAATGATTTATTTCCTTTTACAAATCATGAAAACAAATTCAATGATTTATTTCATTTTACAAAATAAGAAAATAAATCAAACGATTTATTTCCTTTTACAAATCAGAATCATGTGAGAGTCTCATGAAAATAATTTCACTGATTTATTTCCTTTTACAAGACATGAAAATAAATTAAATGATTTATTTCCTTTTACAAGACATAAAATAAATCCAATGATTTATTTCCTTTTAAAAAATAGAAAATAAAATCCAACGATCTATTTTCTTTCTTTTACAAACCATAATCATTTGAGATTTTTACTTTTCATGATTTTCTCAAGATTTCTGAATCGTCTCGATTTTTTTCAAAAAGGTAGAAGATATAATCTGTCTTAAAATTGTCAGAAGTATAACAATCCAAGACGATAAAATAAAAAGAAAATATTATTTAAATAATAAAAAGGAAGAGTATAAAAATAAATACACATTTTTGACGGAACAACCAATTAGAAATGAGTTGAGGCCTGCAGCTACACAATTTCCTTAAGACAGATTTTCGGCCACTCTATGGTGCTAGATCATTAGTCATTTGTCTCCTAGGATACAACAATTAGATGATAACATGTAGTTACACTACTGCAGAAATTGTGAACTATTTCTTTCCTTTATCTATCACTAAAAAAACTAGAGAGAATTTTTTTTTAATATTTTTTGATTTATTTTGAAGTGTGTTTAACCTAATAGGTTTACATAGTATTTATAGGGATTTCACATTGTGAACAATTAGAAACTTTTGACCTAATGAAGTATTAATGAGAATCAAGTAATCAAACAATTTCTAAAATTATTGTTTTGATTAAAAGAGTCATTTAATATTTATCCTTTTAATTCCAAAATAAATTTTGAAAAGATATGCTCTATTTGAGTAAAAATATTTCACATTTGGGCTAAAATATCTGCAAGCCCACAAATAGGCTAACCGATTCAGACATTCACGTTACTCACATCATGCACGTTTACACATGTATGAACCAAATATTGGTTTCACATTTTCCTCAACAATATTTGAATCAATTTCTCATTTGAAGCTCCAAAATTATCGAATTTTTTAACACTTGATACCTAGAAATAAACACATACTTATACCGGTGTAAGTATGTGTATTTTTATATATATAATATTGTTAATGAGTTATCTTAAAATATTTTTTTAAAATTGTATTATAGTTTAAGTTGATATATTTCAAATATCGTAGTATTAATAAGTGTAAATATATTTAAATGTTATATTTTCAATTTAGATATGATGTTTAAAATGATCATTAGTTTTTTTTCAAAATTACCTTTTAACTACAATCCTAAACAATTAAAATTTAAACTGTAATTTAAAAAAAACATATTTAAAAATACTTTTCAACAATATTTTTCAAAAGTAATACCAAATTAGCTTCTCTTACCCTAACAGGCAGACATTGTAGAGCACTCAAAACCCATTAACACAATCATTTTTCTTCAGTCTTAAAAGAGTAATGCACGACTAAGGAAACAATATGAGAACAACCCACTCATAACTAACACTAAACCTACACAATAAAACAAAGGATATCAATAGATATCGGTAGTTGTCCAGTCGAATTTGTAATATGAATACTATATTTATTTTTTAAAAATGCAGTTGCTCACCCGACACAATCGTACGAGGACACAATTCACCTAACACGATCAACAGGGGTGAACTGGAAGTTCTACGGTACGATATTTTAATATATAATTAAAATAAGATATTATTAGTTTTGTTATTATTTAAATAATAAAATTGATAAAAAAATATTTAAAATATTATTATTTTTATTTAAAATTTTAATTTTTTTAATATTTTCGGTAAAAGTGTTTAATAATAATAAAACCGATAGAAAAAATAACAAAATCGATAGCGCTTCCAAATCTAATAAAATACTTAATAATAACAAAATCGGTAGAAATAATAATATTTTCGATTATTTTTTATATCAATTGTATTATTTAAATAATAATAATAAAATCAATAACATTTTTTTAAATATATATTAAAATTACTGCACGAGATATTAAGTGAGCAAGAATTGGGGATCGGATGCAAGTGAAATTCCTGCCAATGTCTGA